ATAAAGGCGCCAATCCAACCTGACTTTCTGCAAAGACATTTTTGCCCCTTGTCTCTCTTCTCGTCTGCATCTCCAATATCTTCCTTTTCTCCTCCTCTGCATCTCCGACGCACACTCCATTTACTTGGGATTTATCTTCTTCTTGGGAATTCCTTCTGCATTATTGAAATGTCGGTGAGTTGCATTCTTCAATTTTGTTTCCTTTTATTTTGATCTTCTGGGTGTTGACTGGTCAATCGATATAAATTCTTGTTTACAAGTTAGATCCAATGTGTTTCATGCAAGGTTTTTGTCCATTCTTCTTGTTTAAAGTAATATTCTTTTTGGAAAGTAGATTATGAGTTGCTGGGAAATCTAAACAACTTTTAATCCCCAGATTAAATTTGTCTTTGGGATCCTAAAGAACAGACTTTTCTTTAATCGATTGCAAATTCTTGGCTTTCTGGTTTAATCTCTGAAAGAAAGTGGAAATAGAAAGATTCAGTTAGTTACTTTTATGGTTAACCCATGTAAGCTTTTTGGTGTTATTTGGTTATTTGGCATTCCACTGTAGGTCTTTGGAAAACTGCAATTGAAATGCCATGAATGAAATGATCTACTATAGTCAATACTAACACACTTGTAGAGATTAGCTACGGTTTTAGTAATACCAACTTCGTATAATCATAATAGTAGGAATATAGATTTTTGCTTTCATCAGTCGTGTGTATTTATGTATGTATGTTACCATTATTTGTGCTTTCAATTTACTGTTTAATTGCATCAAGCATGGTTTGCCAATTACATGTGTATTCACTTCATTTTCATCCATATATTTCCTCCTTTTAGGTTACCTTCTCTCCTCTAGTTTTTTTTTTTTTTTTCCCATTGTTATTATTATTATTGTTATTTTTCTTTTTTCTGAGCTGGGTCATTTCTTTTAAATGACGAGAATGGTGATTAAGAGATTTGAGAGGAAAGGAAATAAAATTGTCCAGACTGCATCTCAGAATTAGGAAATAAGTTTATAACACTGTTAATGACACAAAAAATGACTGCCTAGGACTCTAGCTAGGCTGGTGGTATCATCCCTGAATCTCCATCATGCATGTCATGAAATAAATAAGATGGTGAACTTTCAGTTATTCCGAAAAAGGGTCCCCAAAAGTTGGTATTATGCTTCCTGAATCCTTCTTGATGCGTGCAATTGCATCGAATATCTCTTCTTAATATTCACTGCTGCTATCTCTGGTCTTGTATCTGCCTGTTAAGTTTATCTCACGTTTTAGTTTGATTACTATGTTAGGTCTAACAATCTTGGCCAGATACCTATCTACTTTTTTCTTTGTTTTTTTTTTTGAATACAACATTAACTGACCTTTTGCCTGGTGGAGATTCTATGTTTTCCTGTGTTACTACCAACCTGAGGGACACCTAATTGAGAATTGCATGCGCAGGTCCTCGTGGACCACACTGATCAGAATCTTGAAGCAGTTCCACAGTCAACTATTACACCAAATTGGACAATCAATGTTTCAGATGTGAGGAACAAAGATAGTAGAAATAAATTTCATTAGTGATATTAACAATAGTGCTTCAACCATGATCAGCTGTTATATATAAGCATTTTTAGACTCCTAATGATTTTCGGCTTAGCTTTTGGTCAACAACAATAAACCAGTTATATAGCAGCAGCAGAAGGTCATTAGAATTAAATTAGTGAAGTACCTGTTATCATCACTTGTAGTAAAAGATTTTGAATCCATTAGTGAAGACTCTGAACCCTGTTAATTTCAGGGACAAACATTTTCATATCAATCTGTCTAATAAGGACAAAGATTTTCTTATCAATCTGTCTCATAACCAATTATCATGCCATTTGATTATTTTGTTTTATGTGGTTCTTAGCAAGGTTTTTTTATACAAAACTCTGTTATGCTGTCATTCCAGATTCGTGGAACTCTATAGGTAGCATCTGTTAAACATGATGACACTCACATATGTTAATGTTCTGTAATCTAAAATATTTGATGGATCTGATAAATTTGGAGGCATCATTTCATTGGTAGAAGTTCTTTTCAAGTTTTAATTAATTGGCCTCCATCATCTGCTCTTATGCTTCCTACAGGTAAGAACAGTTAAGGTCAGCAATATATCTTTATCTGTTTCTGAGAGGGATATCAAAGAATTCTTTTCCTTCTCTGGTGACATTCAATATGTGGAAATGCAAAGGTGGGCACTCTTAACTATATGGAACTTGATTTATTTGGATATGTCATCCTGAAGTCGTGTTGTGATAACTTGTGCAGGGAGACTGAGAACACTCAGCTTGCTTTTGTTACTTTCAAGGATTCACAAGGAGCAGATACAGCCTCACTTCTTACGGTGTGTTTGTCTAGCATGTTGGGAGTCTTATTTTGAAATCATTTTGCACTTTGTTCTTTTGATAGCACTTTATGTTAACATATGAATTTTATTAGCTCTCATCATGTTAAACTAACAAATAAATGAAACGAGACATCAAAGTTTGCAAAGAGAATAAATTAATTTAGTCAAAAAAAAATACCCGAACAGATGAATAAAGCTTAAAATACATAAACCACATTTCCAGTTTGGGCACACACCATCTGGAACAGTGTGCTTTTTCTAATATCTTCCTGAATTTATTGTTGGTCCAGGGAGCCACAATAGCTCATCTTTCTGTCACAATCACTCCTGCTGAGGATTACCAGCTGCCTCCTGAAGCTTTGCCTTTAATCATGGTAAATTGCTTTAACACCCATATCCCTGCATCTTGTGTTTTGTTGAATATGACGCTTCTAATTTTAACACTAAACATAATGTACCACACTGAACCATTAGTAAATAGGTGCAACATCATTCTTGCTCGTTGCTAAAATGCTTCCATGGTTGGGGAAAAGCCAAATTTACTGTTTTATTTTGGTGATGGTGTGATTTTTTTTTTTCTATTTTATTTTACTTTTGGTCTAGATTTTGACTGCGTGCTTCCAATAGAGATGGTAAACGTTTCTGTACTCAGCTATGAAAATGGCTATATTTACCACACTCAACTTTGATGGCTTTCAAATATTAAAGTGAGGCATTTTGGAATGGTTTGCTTGATTGCATGACATCTATGCTTAATATCATTCCTGGTTCCCTGGCCCCTTGAATCCCCTCCTGGGTAGCAGGTGATGAAGAACACCTGCAACTAAGCTATATGAACATGCAATTGGGTTCTCCATGTAGTTGAAATTAAGTTACAAATTTATGTTCCAAATGATGTGAATGGTATCTCAGATATTGATATTATACCACAATAACTGAATTGAAATAATATAGTGTTAAGAGTAGGCTAGTAGCATCCTCATAGCAACTTACTATAAGAAAATAACTATATAAATGGCTATTGAGGCATGTCTCACCTTTAGCACTCTCATGCTTAAATGCCTGATTTGTTGGCCTACCTCATGAGAAATTAGTTAATGGTCCTCATTCATTGGCTTACTTTATGAAAAAATAGTTAATGGCTCTTGTTATTTAAAAGTACATGCTTCACTTGAGGGGAAGGAGAAGCTGAATGGGTGCGTGAGTGGGGGAAGTAATGCATTTTTGCAGAAGTCCAATCTATATCGTCTCTTTTTCTCTTAACATTCTCTTCTCTTCTTCCCTATGAAGGAGACGAAGCTAGCTGAAACTGATTCTACTGTTAAGAAGGCTGAAGATATGGTCAGCACAATGCTAGCAAAGGGCTTTGTCTTGGGAAAGGATGCTATCAACAAGGCAAAGGTTTTTGACGAGCAGCACCAATTGACCTCAAATGCATCTGCCACAGTAGCTTCCATTGATCGTAAAATGGGTCTGAGTGAAAAGCTAATCATCGGGACAGCTGTGGTAAATGACAAGTTGAAAGAGATGGATGAACGATTCCAAGTATCTGAAAAAACAAAATCTGCCTTTGCTGTTGCAGAGCAGAAGGCAAGTAGTGCAGGATCGGTCATAATGAGCAATCGTTATGTATCTGCTGGGGCTTCGTGGTTTTCAAATGCATTTAGTGCAGTTGCAAAGGCAGCGGAAGATGTTAGTGTGATGACCAAGGAGAAGGTTGAGAAGGCTGAGGAGGAAAAGCATGAAATTCTTTACAGGGAGAGAACAGCCATTATAAAGGACTATGCGCATATCCATCTCGATGAATCTTCATCAACAGAACCTGCTATTGTTCCTGTTGATTCAGCTGACACCAAGATTGTTATGCATTAATTAATGGCTTTTG